CAGAGGATGCCGTGCTCCTTGTACGCCAGGGACTGGCACTTGCTCAGCATGTTCAGAGCAGCCTGTGGGGAGACAGGGACGGGATGGTGGTGGGAGGGGAAGGGGGGCTTTATGGGGAATTACGGCTAGGCAGGGGAAACAAAGGTGTGATAGTACCTTGCTGCAGCGGTATGAGGTGACTTGCATCATTTCCCAACCGAAAATGGAAGTGATGGAGCCACCAATGCTGGATATGTTGATGATGGCAGCCTTGCTGCAGCTCAGCCCTGAGCCTGGGCTCCCCTGCGCAGCCTTCTTCAGCAAGGGCAGGAATGCCTATGAGGAGGCAGATGAACAGGAGCACACACGGACATGGCACAGCTCCTTCCACAGTGGGGTACACTGACACCAGCACTGGGACATCCTCCCTCCTCTTCCCTGTGCCCCATCCTGCTGGGCTCCGGCTCCTGAGCTCCAGCCTTTGGCCTTGAGCTTCTTATCTACTGACAGCTCACCAGGGCACCTGAGCTGTGACAGGAGCCCCTCTCACTAGCCCTCCACACCGTCTACCACATCCAGCTTGAGGACATGGGAAGGGATTCTTCTGGAGCTATTCTGTAGTGCTGGGGTCTCACCTGGCCCATCAGTAAGGGTCCAGTAGTGTTGGTGGTGTAAGTGTCAGTCATGTCCTCCAATGTTTCAGCATCAAGCATCTTAGACTTGACCATTCCAGCGTTGTTGATGAGAAGGTTCAGCCCAGAGTCCCCCAGGTGCTCCCCAACCTTGGCTGCAGCCACCTTGATGCTGGCAGGGTTGGCAACTTCTGCAGGGCCAACACACTGGAGCTCAGTGACCCTGTTGTGGTTTGAAGTCCCCTGTGTCCCCCCAAGAACATGCTCCCCACGGCTGCCTCCAGTGTGGAGCTTCCTGGGCTGTGATGAGCGCCCAAGCATTCACCAGAGGAACTAGCGTGAGAGGGAACCTACCGAGAGTGATGATGACCAGGTTGGGATGTTTGGCAGCCAAATTCTGTAGCTCCTGCAAGAGGGGTCATGACATTGGCACCAAGAGGCTGGAACAGCTGTGCCAAGGCTCACCCAGCAAAGCCAACCTTAGCCTGTGTTCCTCCACCTCCATCCCTGCACCACCAAGTGCCTGGCACCCTGCTCCAGCTGCCCTGATCCTGATGTAGGGGGAACAGTCCACAGCTCCTGCACACACCACGTATCCCTGTCCCCCCCCCACATCCCATGCACAGATGCTCCCACAGTGTATCAGCCCAGCTGACCTGCGCCACGGGTGCTCAGCTGAAGCTCCAGCCCCTTGCAAACACCATCCCTGTTCCAATCTCCCCCTGGCACTGAGTCCTGCAATCCCCCAGCACAGCCACTGCCTCCCAGCCCAGACTCACCTACGCTCGCTGTCCAGTGGGGTCCCGACAGCCTGCAAAGATCCACTGTGGTGGTTTTGGCATCCTCAGGAAATGCTGGACAAACCCCAGGCCAAGGCCCCGGTTGGCCCCAGTCACCAGAACAGAGCAGACACAGAGCTCTGCCATGCTGCTTCTTCTCTCTCAACTCCAGCTCTCACTGTTTACCCAGTTCTCTAATATTTCCTTAGAGTGAGTCCCACCTCACTCACTCATGGCTCGCACCAGTGCTGGCTTCTCTCCAGGAGGAGCAACTGCTCCACCTCTTTGAGCTCCAGGACATAGATCCTGGCTGAGGACCAATCCTCGTTACCTACAGGCAAAAATCACTTGGCTTTTCTAGGAAAATTATGCATTCCTTGGGTAACCTGATGCCATAAGGCAGGTGAGGCTGTTGTGGGTGAAAAGGGAGGGAGCAGAATGTGGGTTGATGTGGAAAGCTCCACGGCTCAGGTGGGCTTGACACCTTTACAAGCATCCTGTGGGCTTGATGGTCTTTGCACACTGTACCAGGCTGTGCCTCAGGTGGCCCTGAGCAAATGTTCTCTACCTTGGTCCTGCCTCTTCTCCTTCATTGTGGAGCAAAAGACCTGTGGAGTGGGAGAGCAAACCCAGCGTGGTCTCCTGGCTGAAGGGTGGGGACCTGCATGGCTGGCACAGCACCACGCTGCAGGTCATGCACCCCATCCCTTGGGATGCAGTCTGAAGTTGAGCTGTCTCTTTGTTCAGAGCCACAGAAGATTCAGGCACCTGGGACATTAACCTGCAAAGGAAATGCTCTGCTCAAGGCCTATTTTCCACCTTGCCTGTTGCCATGAGGCACTGACTGTTCTGTGCTACTGCAAGAGGAGCCCAGTGCTGTTTGGTACCTCAGGTGATGCATAACAGGTTTGCAAGGCTGGATCAGCCATGTACATCATGTGTTCCTGCCCCATTGTAAGTGAAGACACATCCCCAGAAACCTCTTGCCAATCCCTTGTTTTCCTACATTGGGTCCCAGAGCCATTGCACAGGCTTCTGGGCAGCAATGGAGACAATACTGCTCTCATATTGCCTTCTGTCCCAGGATATTTTGACAGCAGCATTAACCAGAACAGCTTCCTCCCAGCGGCAATGGCAGGTGTTTCTCCATGCTCCAGCAGCAGCTGATTCCCTCCTGCCCACTCCAGCCTGTTTTCTGGGGGTCAGCTGGCAGACACTGTGAGATAAGCAGGTCCTTCCCTGCTCTGACCTGAGACCACCTGAACAGAGTACTCTCCCCAAACCCATTTGGGAAGATGCACACTGGCAGCTTCTATGGTGAGCCAGTCCCATATCTTCTCTCTGTCAAGTCTGAGCCTCTCCTTAAGTTCCATGCAATTAATTTTTTCCCACTTTGTTTCTTGACATTAAATGGACCTCTGTCTACTTTTTGAATTTTCCACACTGGGTTGAGACATTTCTTTCCCCTTGTGAATTCCTACCACTTACCAGCAGTAAAAGCTTTGGGCCTATTAGCTTCTGTCTCAGACTGATCTCTCACTGAGGATCTCCCAGATGGCTGGACTGGCATTCAGGCTCCATAGATCATTTCAATATTTCCTTTTCAATGACCACAGACCTGAACTATACTTGCCAACAGATGTACCAGAGCTCAAATCCTCCAAATAGACTTCCATGGTTTTCTTCCTCTAGGTGGAGGGTAATGCAATCACCTGCAGCCTGTTTGAAAACTCCACAGTGCCTCAGAAGCAGATAGCATCAGAAAACAAATAATTAACATTTTAAGTCTCCTATTTTTGCTGTGTCACCACATTTGTGTAGCCTTCCACTGTTTTGAAGCTGTAACTTTAAAATGTTGACTTTGCTCTGGGGCCCCACATTGCATTATTGATTATTAGATTTTAAACAAGCACTGCTTCACCGGGAGTTTAAGTCCAGCCTGGCACAAAGAGGCAGAGTGGAAAGAAAACAGTCTCACTGCCTTGCAGCCCAGCCTCATCACAATGGCTGTCCCAAAGCTGCTGTTCCCTAAGCTGCTGGCCCCAAGCCTCTGGAAAAGATCTTGGAAAGATCCCCTCCTAAGAGGGGATTCAGATGCTTCCTTTGCTCTGAAATGTTCTTGCATGGTCTAAATCTTAAGCTGAGCATTAAAGTCCTCAGAATCATAGAATCATTTAGGTTGGGAAAGGCCTCTAAAATCATCAATTTCAATAATTAAGATACCAATGCCAATTCCACCACTAAACCATGTCCCCAAGTGCCACAACCATGCATTTTTTAAACACTTCTGGGATAGTGACACCACCACTTTTCTGGCTAGCCTGTGTACCAGTGCTCTAGAGTATTTTCTGTGAAGAATTTTTTCCTAATAACCAATTGAAACGTCCCTTGGCAGAACCTGAGGCTGTTTCCTCTCCTCCTTGGGAACAGAGCCCAACCTCACCTGGCTACACCCCCCTTGTCAGGGAGTTGTAGAGAGTGATAATGGTCCCCTGAGTCTCCTTTTCTCCAGGTTAAGCTCTCATCAGCTCCCTCATCAGCTCTTTATCAGACTTATGCTGCAGACCTTCCCCAGCTCCATTGCTCTTCCCTGGACACACTCCAGCAACTCAATGTATTTCTTGCTGTGAGTGGCACAAAACTGACCACAGGATTCAAGGTGCAGCCTCAAACACCAAGCTCAGGGGCACTGCAGCTCCTCTCCCACAATCTCCCAGGGCTGCTGCACATTTCACCCATGGATTGTTTACACATCACCACACTGGGAAGATTCAGAGTCTGTTTTCCAAGAGGCAGTCAGAGCTTTTCCACCCTCAGCTTCTGGAGGCTCAAGCGTGTTCTGACACCGAGGTGATTGCACACTGACAGTGCTGTTCACAGAAACATGGAGGAACATGCTTTTCTTTGCCTGCCAGGGGAACAGGGGTGTGGCACAATTCGTTTTAGTGCATTTAATCTACTGTAAATAAGAAACTCACTGCTCTTTATCAGGCTGAATTGCTCCACAATGCATTCAGGTCTGTCATCACCTATCAGTCATTTGCTAAAGAATCCGTAGATAGCGGTAACTGAGCCAGAGGTGGGGTGAGACCAACCCAGCATTGCAACTGAAGCTGGGCAGAACTCACCCTCCCTGATTAATTTTCTTTTGGGCTGAAGAGGATTAGTGATCTAGTGGGGGTTGGAAATCCATGGCAGGAGGGTTGGAACTACATAATGTGTAAGGTCTTTTCCAACAGAAACCATTCTGTGATTCCATGATATGATTCTATGAGTAGTGATACCCCATTGTGAAAGGAGGCAGGGACTAGGGGTGAGAGCCTGAGCTTACCTGCAGCTCCCAAGTGAAGTTCCCATGGCACCTTTGTCATAGTTTTGCTGTTTTCCAAGCAGACTCATCCAAGTTACACTTGCATTTTATCAGAGCTGGAGAGGGATTTTGGACAAGGGCATAGAGCAATAGAACAAGGGGGAATGACTTCACGCTGACAGGGCTGGGTGAGATTGGGTATTTGGAAGAAATTCTTCCCTGTGAGGGTGGGAAGGCCCTGGCAGAGATTATACAATGTGACTGCCCCAATTCTGGAAGTGTTCAAGGCCAGGTTGATTGGGGTCTGAGCAACCTGGTCTAGTGGAAGGTGGCCCTGCCCATGGCAGGGGTTGGAACAAGATGGTCTTTAAGGTTCCATGTAACCCAAACCATTCTGTGATTCTGTGACTCTGGGGATTTAAAATACTCACCCTGTCCATGCAACCTCCTTTGGGCCACAGTGTTTGGACCTTGTGCCAGCCTGGAGCCTCACACTAGGTTCAGAAACACTTTTTGGGGATATTTCTCTCATTACAACAGCCAAGACACTTCAGCTGCCTGGGTGCAGCAGGGCTGGCAGCACAGGGACAGAACTGCTTTGCCAGGAGCCATGGGGACAGCACAGATCCTCACTGACTTTCTTTTCTCCCATCCTCTAAGGATAAGTGGCTAGGTTATCTTTCATGCTTCAGCCATGAAGAGGAACCTCAGAACCTCCAAGCAAGACGAATTTGCTTTCCCACTATTAGATTTGCTAACAGGGATGGCTGAGAATGGGCTGCCATATGTGGCAGATATGCTCCATCTCAGGAACACTAAGGCACAGGCTAAATGATCAGCTTGTGACTGCCTTGGTTTGACATACATCAAATGATGTTGAAGTGAGAAAAGGAGACACATGTAAGTTTAGGAATAACTTTGTGATAATGCAGATGTTAATTTAGGAATCCAGTTGAAAAGAGTCATTAAGTCTTATTAAGGAAAGACATTTAATCAGGAAAGAGTGAGTATAATCTTTAAATGAAAAAGCATATAAGGGACTATTGAAAATTTACTCCCTGTAAAGTAGCACCATGCTACTCCAAAACTGCCATGCCAGCCTAGATGATGTGACCCATTGCCCACACAGCTGAGCAGAAAAAATGCAGTCTGTGAACAGCAAAAACTCATATTGGTCTGTAAGTAGCTGTGGGCACTGCTTGAGTAAAATGGGCTGCATTGGTATTTTATCAGCAGAAATTAAAACTTACCATAGTTGTTCATTCTGGTTTCAAACCATATTTGTAAAAAGAAAGGGGGAAAAAACCCACTTACCTTTTTTTTTTTTAATTAAAAAAATTAAAATCCCTCTAACTGCATTTTTTTTCTAAATCCAATGACTTAAAGCAGCACTTATGATGGATTCATCAGCTCTGTGCAAAGGACACGTGCCCACATGTATTTTGTTCTTTACAGTGCACAAACTTTAACCCAATTACAGCATCAATGAGCTGATAACAGGAATTACTAGCTTTGATTTTGAGATAAGTGAACTCAAATACTTCTTTGGATTCTTAGGGAGATCTAGTGGAAAACATCTCTGACCGTGGCAGAGGGGATGGAATTAGATGATCTTTAAAGTTTAATTCAACCCAAAACATTCTAGGATTCTATGATTTATACTCTCAAATGTTCCAAAATTCACCAATATCAGACTTGTGCTTTACCAAGCAGAATGAGTTGCCCAATGTCTGTTGTAGTGACTGGAGCACTTGGATAAGCCTTGGGGCTTTTTTGTTTTATTATTATTTGTTGTTCTTTTTCTTTTTGTTTGCATTTCTCATTTTTACCTGCTCACAATACTTAACTAACAAGGTTTTCAAAGAATGAATAATCTTCTATTTCATTCATGGGGAACAGAGGCAAAAAAGCAAGTCAAGAAATGCCCACGCCTGCTGGAAAGTATTCAGTTACTGATACTTGGAGCTGCCTTTCTTTCACGGTTCACATTCGCATTCAGAACAGCCCTGTGGCTGCACTTTAACTGTTTCTGCACAGCAGATCGCTGTGTCCTGTCTCCAAGGCTTTTTCAAACAAGCACTTTTCGGGAAGAGTTCATCAATGTAATTTGCCTTCAGTATGCAGGATCTGTGTGGCACAAGTGGCCAAACCCTGTGGTTCACCCTGAGTGTTTGTACCCCTCAGTCATTATTTGCTAAACTTTGCCACAGACAGAGCAGCACTTCTGGTGAGAAGTCATCAAATTAATGGCCTGAGCACAGAAGGAGGCAGGAAAAGGAGAACAGGATCCTTATCCAAATATGTGCTAAAAGGAAGGATTTTTTTCTTAGTATTTAGTAGTATAATCGAAAGTTTATTTTTATTAAATTCCAACTTCTGTAAAATAAAATAAAGGTCTAAAAGCATTTTAATATCCTGAAGTAAACTGGGGCTCCTGTATACTTGAACCACCTTGGAGTAGGATAGAGTTAGCACAAATCACCCGATGCTATCTCCAAATTGACATAACTATTTAGTTTCTGATGTATTTATTAGTATCAGAGATGTTTTGTGTAGTGTTTGTCAAACAAGGATGAAAATAAGCAACATAAATAGCAACCCTTATATGCATCAGCTATTACTTCACCATTGAGATCCCAGTTG